AAATACTGAATCCTACACTTACGTCATGACTGACTTGATTCACAAGGCTTTTGCTTATGCAGTGTCGGTTCAAGAAAAGGTTGTCCAAACACGGATACTTGTTGCGACCATGGCTGAAGCACTGCCAGTGGAGAAGGCCTTGAAGACGGTACGCTCGGCATTCTCTGAGAGGAACTACAAAGATGTGCCGCTCGCTCGAGTTGACTACGGCTCGGACTACATCCTGCACGATGGGAAGGTGAAGGCCGAGGTCATCCCCGACGAGCTGCGCGTCGCCAACCGAGAGGCTTGGTCAGACATGTTCCGTGATGCGGCAACTCAATCATTCATCGTCAAGGACGTGAACTCCGGTGTCGACCTTGCCAAGATGAGTGAACGTACCGATGCGCTGGCTCTCGCCAAGAATGCCATGTCATCGTTGACAGGTACTGCGGGAATTCTCAAAGAGGCTCCGGCTGAGGCTTTCGATATCCTCTTCTGCCCGGTCAACTATCTGTTTTTCGGCGACTCCTTCAATGCATTGGTCAAAGATGGAGCAAAGACAGATGTTGGCACCATCATCAAGGAGAATAAGCGGACGCTATTTGGGCACAAGCACGAGGTTTGGTCCGAAATGACATGGGGCAAAGGACTGGCGGAATCTCTTGATGCCGCTGAGCGGGCAATGCTAAAGCTCGCCGAAAGGCCTGAGCCCCGGCCGTACGTCATCGTGATCTCCTGGTCTGGAAATGATGTTGTCGGTCGTAACGGTTACATCGACAACCCCGCCGCCCTAGCGGGCTGGGCCACTGACTCCGAGGCAAAGCGGAAGGCTGCGATGGACATCATCGAAAGGAACGCCTGAGCAGTGATGACTGTCCGTGACCGGCTACGCCATATTGCTTTCCGGGAAGACGTGGTCCAGGTCGTGCTCATCGTACCTCGGGACTTTGAGACGTATGGATTGAGTGAATCTTATAAGACTCAAATGGACGGTCATGCACGTTTGTTGCATGGTTCCGCGGGAATCACCGTCCTCGACCCCCAGACTCTCATATCCAACACGTCCCGGGCAGACCGCATCCACACCGATGACACCGAGCGCAACAGGAAACACTACATCAATTACTATGTGGCCGCCGCAAAGCTCGGGTACTGCATTGGCCAAATCAACCGCTTCGAAATGGCGATGAATTGGTACCGCCTCGAAAGGGAATACATGAACATTGACACATCTATCCCGATCGTTGGCGCTACACCCCAGGAAACTGGCGGTCCGGCAATTGCAAAGAACCCCGAGGACCCTTTCGACAATGTGGTCCGTGAGAGGGAGTTGGAGGCGATCAACGAAATCGCCGCGCAAGAGCCGAAGCGCGAGGTTTTCCTGGAGACTGAAAAGGAGGCAAACCCCCTCTACCCCCTTGACACCGTCAAGGAGGAAGCAAAGATCTTGCAGATGATGCAACCCGACATTCACGCGGCGACCGTCAGCGGCCTCAACGATGTGATTGGTCTTCTTCTTCGGATGAGGAGGACCTGATCAGCTTCGACCTGCCCCCTGGCTCTCAGCCTAAGGTCAGCCGGCCGAAAGGCCAGGCCGTTGAGGTTGCCGCAGTGGATCCGAACGACATCGGTGAGGACGGCCAAATCAAGCTCATCCTCACTTCCAAGCGGAAAAGTCATAACAAAATGACTGCAGCTCTCAGTGCTGCGACACCAAAGGTGAAATCAAAGGCAATGCCAATGCCTGCTGCCTCATCCAGCGATCAGGCGTCCGGGGCTGGGACCAGCAAGACTCAGCCCGGAGAGATCCGTGGCCCGGAGATCACCCCCAAGGCGAAGGCAGTTTCCAAAGCTGCTGGAAAGCCCGGGGAGACCCGTGGCCAGGCTGCTGAACCCAAGAGGGAGTGGATCAAGTGCTCAGGAATCAAGATTCCCCAGATCCAGAACTATGGCAGAAGGACGTTCTTGAGCAAGAAGGTGTCGTATTTGGTTCGCGGACATGCCCACGAACATGCGACGCGATCCATCCCTGAGATCAATCTCAAGGACAACTCCTTCGACTACGCAGCCGTCGCCAAATGGATCCAACGTCGATATGACTGGAACTGCTCCCAATACACTCTTCTTCAGGCCACGTCCACATCGAATCGGTTCGAGGTCTATGTCGAGTACGCGCCGGCCGGGCAGCAATGGAACGGGCTCAGTTTCATGCCACTACGCATTCGCGCGTTCACCGGCCACAACGATTGGGTGACCGAGGCCAGCGGCTTTGACAATATTCCTGGAGATCCCATTGCAATGGATGTCAATTACACCATTGAGCACGCAAAGAAGGGTGTGCGACCGGGCTTCTGCAAAGATTTCTCGGACGCACGCCGAAAGGCGCTGCCCAAAATCGCCTACCACACGTGCAACATGCAGAATTTCTTTGACATCATCTACATGGGCATCTTTCCGGGCGGAATGGGAGACCGGCAAACCTCGCGTGGTCACGCCTACCTGACGGTAGTGCCTCCTTGGGACAGGCATGGCCGGAAGGCGGGGGGTGCGCGTGCTGACCGACCCATCAACATCGCCGTCGATGTGGAGATGTTGATCCAATTGGGATGTCGGCTGCACGCACCCGGAGACGGGGAAGCCCTGGTGACGGAGGATTGGATCACGAACAAGGTCCTCATTTACGCCTATGACGCTGAATGTGCAAAGTTTATCTGGTCCAACCGGATGTACGTCAGCATCAGACGGAACTACCAGGACAGCATCAAGAAGTATCGGGAAGAGACCCAGAAGGGCGTTGTCGGGACCCCAGTGCTGGAATCGTTCATGGCGAAGGCTGAGAAGGAGTGCAAGCTCTATTACAAACAGTGGGCTCCGACAGCGTGCCGCGACATGACGCGGCCCCACCGCATTGGCAATGTGACGAAGGTCAGGGACGTCTACGACGAGAACCTCCCGAAAGAAGAGCAGGTCGCGCTTGAATTCGAGACCGCCCGCTATGGCCTCTACAGGAACTGGGCCCGAGCTGTGACGCAGCAGCCCGGGGAAACCCGAGGCCGGAGTGGTTTGTGGCAGGACTTGGATCCCAACAAGCAGAAGTCGACAAATTGGCGCTTCGCGGAGGTCATGCACATCCCCGACGTTGAGTGCCCTCGCTGCAAAATCCTCATCCCGGTCGGCACCATCAACTGTTTTCAGTGTGACCAGCTGATGGAACGCATGCCCGATATCAAGAAAATAGCCAGGGTCGTCCGTTTGCAGGAGATGGCCAACAGCTTGGGCGTGCCGCTTTCCATGGACCAGGTTGAGACTCAGATATTGACGCAGCGGAAGGATGCGCGGGGAGATCGAAGCGCAAGAGGGGGCCTCGGCATCATGAAGGACATCGCCAAGAAAGCGGTTCTTCGCAACAAGGAGTACACCACGCTGTACGAGAGGCTGATCAGTGACCCCTTCTACGCCTACACTGCCGCGCGGGGAGACCTGACGCCGTCCGCCCTCGAGTTCATCGAGAAGGTGGCACGATGCATTATTCCGAGTTTCGTGAGAACCAAGGAAATGATCCAAGGAAGCGTTGCTGTGCCGAAATATCACGCACGGCTAACGCTGGTGCCGCCAACGGAGGACGTGCAGGAGGTCGATCCGAAGGACGTCTATGTTGTGCATGGTGGCAGATTTCTGGAACCAGAACAATTTGCTGCATTGTATGGAAGCCTTGACAAGAGCAACCGCTACCCCGTGATGGGCTGGACCCGGGATTTCTCGTCTGTGGGAGACCCCGAAATGGTATTGGTTGAGTTGCTCTGCTTCGTCGAAGAGGAGATCCCCAACATCGAGATCCCTGGACGAGCCACCCCGCTCCCTGCAGTTGTCGGTGTGACGCGCAAGCCCATTCCGCAGCTCCGGGAGACCGGTGGCCAATGGCAAGATCGTCAATGGAGCCAGTCGTACTGGGGAAGCTGGGGCCAATCCTGGGACTCGTGGTGGTCTGATGATCAGCGCCCGTGGAAGAGCTCCCGCAATTGGGATTGGCGATGAATGAGCGATCTCTTCAACAATCTTTTCAATCTTCGGCTGACATCCATTTACATTTCAAATTCAATATTCATTATACTTCTCAATCATGTTGGCCGAGGATCAATGTACAGTGCATGAGCACGCCTCGCGAGAGCGACGGTCAGTGGAGGCGGAAGACCTTAACTGCCGATTGCTCGCATCCAAGTGCTTGTGTGCTGCAAAAGGACTTCATGCCTATCGGGTTTCTTTGGTTGTTTCATCCCTTTCATTTGTCCTCCTGTTTCACGTTCGGGCACGGGGGGTGTAGTTTGCAACGTGATGTATTTATCAACCATGTAAAACCCCAATGCATGAATGTCTCACTTGTGCAGTCTCATCATTACGACTGCATATGGCTCAAGGAAAAAGCGCGCTGTGTACAGGGTTCATTTGTGACCCTTCCCGGTTGTTTAACCTGTTCTATACTTTCTATAGTAGATGCCCCAGTTACAAAAGCAGGCCAGAGGACGAGCAGTGATTGGAGGTTGAGGCTTTGGACACCATCTACCTCGAAGATTTGCAGATTGAATCAGCAACGAAATGCTGGAACCAGAGCCAACGAGCGAGGGAGAGGTTCATGCTGCGGTCCGGTGAGACGTTGAATACTTGCTACTGCAAGAAAAGGACATGGCAAAGCCACCAGCCGCTTCAGGAGCTCCCGTACTTCAAGAGACCCGCATGCCCATTCATGGTTCCATCTTGATCTGGGGAAGGCTAAATGGGTATTTGGGTTTCTCCCCCACTGGTATCGTGGGGGGAATAAAATACAGGAGAGCTCCCAGGCATGAACGAAACCCAAGGGAAACATAGGTTTGTTTTTCTTTAAAAGGGTCCATTTTTATTTGTTTTTTCTCTGGTGCCGATCGCGTTTTTGGAGCAACCCTTAGGGAAGAAACCAAAGGCCCCCCCCGCAGGGTGGCTGGGCTGGGTGGGTGGGTGGGTGGGTGGGTCTCAGCCTTCTTTAGGCGCTTTGGCGCGGCCAGCGCCGGCGCAGCAGCCTTCGTGCCCAGGGTGTGGTGCGGGGCTCGCTCCGCAGGAAAGTTGCAGTCGTCTCTTTCTTTGGAGGGTTCGTTCAACCCCCGGACTTCTTTTTTTCCAGCCTTGTTGTCTCGGAAAGGTTCTTTACGATTGCCCCGAGACTCCTGTTTTTCCCACCTTCTTCGTTCCAAATGATATTTCGTGATTGTTGCCAGAGTTGATTGCAGGGGTGCCTTCCGTTAATTTGCGGTGGAGTTGCTCTTACAGCCAACCGACCCAAATAGGCGCGTCTTCCTGATTGCATGACCCCCCTCTCCACACAAGTGAGTGTGTGTTTTTGTCAAGTGTATCTTTTGTTTCATGACGTCCTTTGCTGGTTGGTTCAACCGGAACTCAGAAGAAACCAACCATCGACAGGGCCCATATTGGTTCCATGATCATTTGCGGAGGGGTAGTCTTTGGGAGGCTATCCAACGTTATCATGGCAACCAACACCCGAAACACTGTCCAGTTGCTTTGGACCCTTGTAAAGGAACATGGTACAGACGAGTCAATGGAGTAACCGCCTTCCAACCTGCTCGGTGATCTGTATCTTTCTTGCTGGGTTGAAAAGGATTGAGTTGTCCCCTTGAATCAGGTAACTAACCCTGAATCGGTGGTTCGGATTGGTAGTTTGGGGACTTGAAATGGGAAACGGGTCCCTGAACCACCAAACCAGTGATCCGATTCGTGGCTTGTGCCTTAATTTTCAACCCCTGGTTCTTGAAATGGGAAAAAACAACCACATCCACCAAATAATTAACCAAAACTCAATGGGAAGCCCATCCCTGAGCCACCAAGCTGCCCAAAGCTTCCTAAGCCCCAGGCGTTTTTTTTCTCGGCGGACGCCTCGGGCTAGGTCCTGCCTTTGGACCGTCGCTCGGCGAAGCTCAAGCGCGCAGCCACGCAGCTCCAGGCCGGCCGCCGGCTCTTCCGAGGTCTCCGCGCGGAGAGGGGAAGACTCGGCTGTTCAAAGCGAATCGGCCTTTTGAGCTTTTGGTTTTCCCATGTGTTGGTCTATTTTTAGTAGTCCCAAAAGGTTGACCTCTTATTGATGGGTCCTTTGGGCAAGTGAGAAAAGGGAGCTCCATGGGCCCATTCCTGGGATCGATTCTCCGTGTTTGTTTCCTGGAGTCTCCTCTGTATGATTGTTCGGGCAGGTTAAATTAAGTATGACACATCATGTGAACGATGTTCACTGGGGTCTCCTTCATGTGTTTTTGTGGCTAAATACAAAACATAATATGATCATACGATGTTCAGTGTACAAATGTAGCCCAAGATTATTGGATCCAGTGGCTCTCAACTGCTTTGTGGGAAATTTGTGCCCATTCCGGCAATTCTTACATTTTGAGGTTCACAAACTTTGGACCAGAATGAATCATATCACTGGCTTGACAACAGCTGAGGGAGGGGCCTGGGCCTTTCGCCTAATACAAGGAAATCCCCTCAAGGGGCGTCGGTTTTCTCGTTGGTTCACTGTAAAGCCACCCTAATACTTGGTTTCAAGAATCAATTTTCAGCTTGCATCGCGTCCACTTACTTGGGTTGGCCAGAGTCATAGTATCATAGGTGTCCTTCTGGTAGCAGTTTTAATCCACCAAGTCTTCCCAACGGATTCCTAAGACCAACAAAGGTGCGGAACCGGTCTGCAGTTTCTCAAAGGGGTGTCGTGAAACAACTGGGTTTAGCTCAAAACACAGCAACAAAGGGGCCGTACTTACATCCAAGGCTACCCACTTAGAACAAGAAATACGTTTCAAAGTCCGGAGATTGTTTCCATTTTCCCCATGATTTGATCAAAAGGCTTCATGGGTTGAAAGAAAAGCCTCCAGGACCTCCGACTTTGGTTCATTGCCACAACCACGTTATGAACTTTGAAGAGGCACATCACCAATCTCCTGGAGCCCTGCTTCGCTGAGATTGGCACGAGAGAACAATGCATGGCCGCGACACAATCAGCCCCACATTCGCCACAAATTGTCCCTGACCGTTCAACCGTGAGCTGGATCCATGTCTTGTAAGTGATGTCCACCAAAGAGACCGCAATTTGTTAATTCATCCCCACTACATTGCCAGGTTCAGCGTACGTGTTTCCTTCATCCGAAAATCGAATACACCGGTAGCTGAACCCTGGGTCCTTCATGTTCTTGCTGGTGTTCAGTAGGAAATGAGAAATGGAGTGCCCCTCTAAACCATCCTGATTTGGTTTCCTTTAAGACCAAAGCCTGGGTTTCCATTTCTCATTCGCGGCAAGTTTTGAGCCACCTAAAAAGGTAGGGCTTGCGGGCAGTTCAGGCGGCGCTGCGCGGCTCGCGGGTGCGCCGGAAGCTGCGCTGGGCGCGGGAAGTGCTGGGCGCCCGGAGGAAGTCGGAAGGGCGGGGGGTTTTGGGGGGGGCTGTTTGGGGTCTCAGAGACTCTGGGCCAGAGTCTCCTCAGAACAGATTCGGTTTTTTAAAAGGTTGACTAAGCATGGAGAGTCTGAAAGTTAGGTTTGGTGCGGGCCACCGTCCCGTCCACATGGCCATGGAACCAGAGGGCCCTTTAGAGACACATCTAAAACAAGATGGTCTTACAGTTCCACTCCAAGGGATGCCAGTCAGGTTCCATGTTGGACAGGAGGGCAAGTGGTCTTTTTCAAACGTGGGCAGCGCTTCTTGGACATGTTACATGTTGTTTGCTGGAAGCCTTACCTGGTGAGCTCGCCAAAGGACCCTGAAAGTATGGCGTTGCCCAGTGCCAGACGAAGGCATTGTTTGTTAATTGCTGTAATATGCTGTACCTTGTCCCCTTTCCACCATGAATTTAATGAGTTTCCATCAGTCATGGTGAGGTTTACACGAGAGAACCGTGGGAACCTTTAGGCTGGGACCAGGTTGTTGTGTCTCAGTTGTTCAGATGGCCAAGGATCTTGCGGTTTGCATGTCCTTTGGTGGGGCCATAGTCAGTCAAAACACCAGAAGCAGCACGTTGTAAGCTGAGTATTGAACACAAAGGTTCCCTGATTTTGGCGTGAAGTCCGACTTGTTCTTCAAAGCATTTAATCAATGTAGTATATATATATATATACATATATATATATATATAACTTTAGAGCCTCCGGCTCAGTCCGCCGACATTGTCCTCTCCCTTTTCTCCTTCTTCCTCTCTCCCTTGTCTCCCTGGTGTGTTCTGTCGTCCTCTCTCCCTCCCTCCGCTCCCCATCCTCCCCATCCCCCCAAGCCACTCTCTCCCCAATCTCCCTCTCTCGTATGTATGTATGTATGTATGTATGTATGTATGTATGTATGTATGTATGTATGTATGTATGTATGTATGTATGTATGTATGTATGTATGTATGTATGTATGTATGTATGTAATGTAATGTAATGTGTAATGTAATGTATAATGTAATGTAATGTAATGTATGTATGTATGTATGTATGTATGTATGTATGTATGTATGTATGTATGTATGTATGTATGTATGTATGTATGTATGTATGTATGTATGTATGTATGTATGTATGTATGTATGTATGTATGTATGTATGTATGTATGTATGTATGTATGTATGTATGTATGTATGTATGTATGTATGTATGTATGTATGTATGTATGTATGTATGTATGTATGTATGTATGTATGTATGTATGTATGTATGTATGTATGTATGTATGTATGTATGTATGTATGTATGTATGTATGTATGTATGTAATGTATGTATGTATGTATGTATGTATGTATGTATGTATGTATGTATGTATGTATGTATGTATGTATGTATGTATGTATGTATGTATGTATGTATGTATGTATGTATGTATGTATGTATGTATGTATGTATGTATGTATGTATGTATGTATGTATGTATGTATGTATGTATGTATGTATGTATGTATGTATGTATGTATGTATGTATGTATGTATGTATGTATGTATGTATGTATGTATGTATGTATGTATGTATGTATGTATGTATGTATGTATGTATGTATGTATGTATGTATGTATGTATGTATGTATGTATGTATGTATGTATGTATGTATGTATGTATGTATGTATGTATGTATGTATGTATGTATGTATGTATGTATGTATGTAATGTATGTAATGTATGTATGTATGCATGTATGTATGTATGTATGTATGTATGTATGTATGTATGTATGTATGTATGTATGTATGTATGTATGTATGTATGTATGTATGTATGTATGTATGTACGTGTGTATGTATGTATGTATGTGTATGTGTAATGTAATGTAATGTATGTAATGTATGTAATGTATGTATGTATGTAATGTAATGTAATGTAAAGTAAAGTAAAGTAATGTAATGTAATGTAATGTAATGTAATGTAATGTGATGTAATGTATGTATGTATGTGATGTGATGTAATTTAAAGTAATGTAATGTGATGTTGTGTAATGTAATGTATGTATGTCTGTATGTCTGTCTGTATGTATGTATGTATGTATCCTTGCACTTCCCCTTTGCTCCCCAGTATTTCCCGCAAAACACACTGTTTTTCCAGCGTTTTCGCAAAGATGATGTCCAAAAACACAGAGTTTTTCCATATTTTTGGCAAAAGGATGCAGGAAGCCCAAGGCAGCAAAAAAGCCGGCAGGGGGAATCGAGCCTGGGACCCCTGTTTTGCGACACCGGGTCCCCGAAGACTACGTTTAGTGGAACGTCATCAAATTGCCGCGCGGTCCTTGGGAGGGGGGGGGGGTTATCCTCTATCCTCTCTTAGGTGTCCGACACGCCGAGCAATGTCGGCGGATATATATGTATACACAGACAGGGAATTAGCTTGCTCTCTCCGCATAATTTCCAGGAATCTCGTGGTGTTCAGAGATCGGCACGGCTAGACAGATAGCGGCCTGTGGCGGGCCATGTGGTTGGCTAGCTGGTTGTCCAATTTTGCATCCAGCTACGAGGGTGCTAGCACCTTGTTGCTTCTGTCAGTTTGATATAGTTTGGGGTCATTGTGTTGGTTTGCTCCAAGCAAGCAATGCTCAAGAAGTAGTTTGGCAATTATGTGGCACCTTGGTTTGCCTCGAGCATCAAGCAAAGCTGCCAAGCGGGGGATGTACTAGCCACTGCTTCGTCCAGCGTGCTTGCAAAAGCAGAAGATCGAGAGGATGCCTTGACGGTCAATCTTCAGGTGGCATGTCAGACAATCACATTCGACATGGGAAGATCCAAGGGCAAACATACCTTCTGTCAAAATCCCCTGCAGTGTGGGAAACATTTTACATTTTTGCTTATTGTGGTTTAGTGGTTGAAATCCCCACTGAACGTCAACCAAGGATGATCAAATACGGGACGAGTCGGATATCAAGAACTGCCTGGGTTCCCTTGAAGACGTCATGTCAATGGACCCAGTCGAGGATGCCGCCTAGGTCCAGGATGGTGGGCGATGACCTCGAGGATGCGCGCCGTGTGTTCCAAAGAACTGGGGCCATGCTCAGGGCTGTTTTTTTTTTATATTATTATTATGCCGGTGGTGGCAGGCCAGGGCCCCTTTTTTGTTGACCGTGCAGGTGTAAAACAGGTGCATGTTGTTAGGAACAACTGCAAAACGCACAGACTCACAAGTCATTTCAGTGCCCGCCGAGCCTAGGAACATAGAAACAACTCCGCCTTCAGGCCACTGGAAAAACACCTCTTAGGTCTTCGGTGGGTGATGTTTGAAGGAGAAGCTTAAAACCCTTTGGCTCAGCCTGAGGGGATTGTTTGTGAGATTTGTAGGGGCAGAGACCGGCCGTCTTCAAATCACGTAGTACAAATCACCATGTGTATTTGCGAGATTGGGTGGGGCTGGGAGGCAATGCGCATTCATGGTAAAGCTGTTTGTTTCTGAGCTGCTTATCGCTTTGCGCGAGGCCATTTTTCGCGGATATCAGAGGACATGCAGATGATGTGCTGCACGTGAGGTTGTTTGTCCGCTGCAGACCGTAGCCCCTGCGGGTCGCAACAAGCTCACCGCCTGAAGAAATCCAAGCCATTCCTGCGTGCAGCAAGATGAGGCACGAGATGAGGCTCATGATTGGCTTGCTGGTGGTCAAACCCTGACCCAGGTTTGGGCATTTCGATTTCGGATGAAAGGAGGCAACGAGAAACGAAAGGAAAACCCCGGTGAAACCAGCAACAGCAAAGAGCAAGCCTTCTGAAAACAGGCGATCGGGTACTTAAGTGGCGAGTAAGCCAGACTTAAACCGAGTCTCCGTTCAGTGGGTTTTAACCAGGAGACTTGTAACCATAGTTTTTGGTGGGTTACCATGGTTTTTTGATGCTTTTCCCCAACAGCTGAAAGCTTTGGGGTCTCAGCCCAGATGGGCTCCGGGGTGGTCCGGGGCGGCCCTGAGGTAAGGTTCCACGAGGGTTCCACCAGGGTTCCACCAGGGTTCCACCCAAGTTCCACAAGGGTTCCACAAGGGTTCCGCAAGGGTTCCGCAAGGGTTTCACGATCAGTTCCGCAAGGGCTCTGGGTAAGGTTCCACACCGTAACAGCTAAAGATTGCACCGTCGGGCCCCGGTCGGGCACCGTCCGCTTGACCTTTGCACAGGTAAAGCGGCATCCCAAGCAAAACCGGCTGCGCTATGATTGGTGGCTTGGATCGGTGGTTTGCTTCCCGCGCTGCGGTGGGGCCTGAGCGCCAAAAAAAAAACGAGCACCGCATGCTGTCGGGGATATCACCTGAGCTTTTTTTTTGGTAACCATGGTTAGTTCTCCCCTTCCCTGACGTATACTGCCCCCTGGAAGTGGCCCATGCCGATTTGCGAGGACCCCACGGCGGACCTGCAAGAGCTGCTGGCTGCGGCGCAGAGCGCCGCAGCCCGCGGCCCGGGGTTCCTCCATATCCAGAAGAACCGAAGGGCGACTTAAAAGGGGAAACCCGGTGGTTTTCTGTTTGAGGGGAAAACCCAGTGATTTTGGTTTTTTGGGGCAAGCCCGGTGGTTTTTTGGTGATTTTGGGTTTTTGGGGGGAAGCCCCGTGGTTGTTTTTCGCGTTTTGGGGGGACACCTCATGGATTTGTTTGGCTTGGTCCCCAATTTGGGGGAGGGTTCCCCCACGAAAATAGGCAAAACCAAAAAAGTAGGTATCAAATTAAATTATTCTAACCTTTCTACGAGAGGACCTGGGAAGGGCAACTTAAGGGGAAACCCGGTGCGGTGGTTTTGGGCTTTTTGGGGAGAAATCTCATGAATTTCTTTGGCTGACCCAAAAACAGTCATGGCGTGTTTTTTCCATGAATTCCTATTTGTCAGTTTTTTTTGTTTTTCTGGCTGCGCCTGTCAAGAGGTAGTTGAAGTGCGAAGTCAACGCCCAACTGGTGCGGGGTTGGAACACATTTGAGTCGCTTTTCCAGTTGTTTTTCTGTTGGAGGAGAATCATGAGCGCCACCCTAACCTGCTCGAAAGGTTCTATCCGAAGCCTTGGATCGGAACCACTTCGATGTTTTTTTGGGGGGGCTGCAATTTGGCCCAAAGCCCTGGTTTTGGTGGGTACTTTACTAGCTTCCTGTAGAACTTCCTGGCTGTGCAACAATTCATCCTGAATCCTTATGTCATGTGGTGGTTTCCCGTATTTGGAGTGTGCCACTACTGCTTACAAAGTCAGAGTTGGATTAGGAATCCCCCTGTTTTAACGACCCAGTTTTGACTGGTTCTAGGGGTTATCAAAGTTAGAAACGGGGGTGGGTCCCTTTCACCTACCACTAAGGGGGCGGTGACTTTGATAAATGTAAAGCGTCTTTTTCCCCCTCGACTCATGGAGGTGAACATCTTGCAAAGGCCGACGATGCTTGGAGAGAGTGTATCAAGATAATTATGGAACCCAAACCATTCTGGTTTTGGGACGGTCCTACGAAGCTGCCGAACGTTGACGGAATGTGCTTCGAGTGTTTTGATTTCAACGTTTTTCCGGTCAGTTCCTCCCGGTGCCGGGCTCTACCCTCCCACTGGAAGTTGATTGTGGTATCTTCTCACACATGCTGTGGGTCAAAACCAATGGTACCATTTCGGGGTAGGTGCACCACCCGTTTTAGAACCTATTTTCGTGGGGATTGGGACGTTCACTGGTGGTACGATTTGGATTTTGACCCATGGCCACATGCCTTCCGTTGGAGAAGGTGCCATGCGTTTCCCGCGAGCCAACGGACCGGTGTTGCAACGCGTACGGCTTCAGGCAGAGCCGCTGAGTTTCCACCTAAGCCTTCCCCAGGCGCGAGAGAGTGTGGCGCGTCTTACAGGGAGCCCCCGAAAATTGCCCTAAAATGATTGGCTTCCTTTTCTTTTGGTTTCTCTTGAAAACTATTCAAAAAAATATATTCTCAAAACAGACAGGGTATGTAAGAGCGAATTATGTGAGGACCATGCTTGCCAGCGCAGTTCTTGGGGTTCCTTTCGTCATTTTCAACGGTGTTTGCTCCTGATCACATGTTCGCCGATTTGCCCAGATGGGTATGCGTTCAATCCAGGAACATGTTTTTCTTGGCTGCTCTTTGGTTCAACTGTTCAACCTATTTCGCTCACTAGGAGCAAGTTGTACTTTTTGGGGCTCAATGGCCAACCCAGCGGTGGGCTCGTTTCAGCCCGTGGATGAAAGTGAGCACGAGGGATGGCTGGTTGGGTTTGACAGATTCCCACATGATGTCACGGTCCAAAGCCTTGATGGGATGGTGCGCTCGTTAGTTAAGCATTTAGGGCGAACAAGCCGAGATATGTTCGAAGGATAGTCATGCTTATTCCCGTTGTAGAATGGTTGACCGTGGCGCACCTTGTCATGGTACCTGCAGCATGCGGATCCTATCTGTGGGCGCTCCTTGTTCAAGTGCTCTTGATTATCTCTGCACCCTCCCACAAGGAAAGCACTAGCTCGTATAGCTCGTAAACTGTTTGCGATCATGGGCAGACACCAATGAGCCCGAACAGGTGTCGTTTATGATCCTTGGTTATCCATTCTTTGAGATACACTGACTGTTGGTTGAGCGGAATCTTGTTCTGAGATACGGACATGTTTGTCTCATGCGATGCAGGTTCGCTACTGTGATGCGGTTGTGCTCAAACACTGGGACCCATTTTTTGGGCTTGGTGTTTCTATGGACGAATACCAGCAAACCACGATTTGTAAGCCCGAACCACAAATTCCACAAGGACACCAGACCAAACATGGCATCATTTCTTATCGTTCAAGCGCCATACTGTGGGTGGACAAATCCATTTCGCAGCACTGTGAAACCATGGCTGAAACCACTGCTTGTTGGTGTTTTTGTTGAGGAATCGAGTCATTCCTACCCGTCTTTTAGGTGGTGCGAGCGGATCTTGCCACCAACAGTAGGACACATCTCGAAGCCGCGGAGTTGGTTTCGCTTCCAGGGCGCCTCGCTTCCGCTGTCCCGTGTCCGGGTGCCCGAGATTGGGACTCGAAGTTCTGGGAGGCTTACATGGGTTGATGTCCATTCT